GTATGTTCTGGTTGTGCGGTGTTACTGTTGCTAGTTTTTATTGACCGTATGAGGGTGACGCCTCCTGGTGTCTAGAGCTGCTAGATTGAGGCTTCCATCCCCACAGCTGCGTAAACAAGGTCGTCAGTAAATATTCAAACGCCTACGCAAGAGATTATATAAAGTAAATATAAACGAACTTATTAAATTATTCATTCATCAAAGTCTGCCAGAGCTAACTATAAATTTTGAAGGTAAAATTGTCGTTGCTTATTATTAAATTATTCAGTATTTACCAATTTCTGTAGACAGGATGTCTCGAATCAAAATCAAGTGAAACAGCTTAGGAGCTGTTCTAGAATCGTAGGGACAAATATTCAAATAAATTAAATTGATTATTGAGGTTTATTTAAAAAAAAAGTGGGCGTATAAATGATTACTATTTAGATTCAGTAATGTTCTTAGGGTTAAGGAAAAGAGACAAATTATAAGAACTATTGAGGACAGAAGGCAAAAATTATTGGAACACTTGATACGACACGGCGTATTTATGAACATTATAATAGAAGGTAAGATAGAAAGGAGGAGGGGAAGAGGGAGACCGAGGCATAGTTACATCAGGCAGACCAAGGAAGGAGTTGGTGTCGTGTCGTACCAAGAGGTGAAGAGACTCGCTGAAAATCGTAGTAAGTGGCAAGAGCTCCACCGACAAGAGCGCAGCTCTTAAATAGAAAAAATAGAATGTTATTTGATACTACTTTAATTATTAATTTCGGTAAAAAGTAATTAGGAAATATGTACAAGGACGCTATTTGGAATTGATTGAAATGATTTTATCATCTATAGACGAAATCATACACTTATCTATGTAACAAACAAATATTAATTTATTTTAATAACAAGTTCCAATAAATGATAAATCAATACATTCATTAAGTTTTCATTGATTACTTCAAATGACTGTAAACTCCAGTGGACGGCTAATCTAATCTAGTACTCAACTAATCTATTTGGATATTAACATCCATAACACTAATGTTATGGATGACAATTTATTATTCAATAAAACATAATACGATTGACAGATAACAGTTTAGGTGTCGGTAACTGTCTCTATGGTGGTAGAAAACTTTTCCATTGGACTAATTGAGTATTACCGTTGTCTGGAGTCATTTTATGGCCTCCATAGATTAGATGCGAGGTGGTAAATAAATTATTTGTAACAGATAAGGGAAGCATTTCTTATACTATTTTTTTCTTCTATTATGGCTTAAATATTCTGTAGGTTATAAAATAAAAAAGATGCAGTATATAGTAAGTCCTATTGCGTAAAAAAAGAATGCTAGATGATTATTTTTAACTGATTTCAAGTCATAAAATAACAGATATCAACATAAAAACTGGTATAAAAGATATAGATCCCTTTCTGTCTCTGTCCTTGTTTAGTTCTTTCTCTTTCATTTGCAGTTAATTCTGATTTTTTACCGCATTTGTTGTGACAGCGCCAGCTATCCCCGGCATTGCTCGAGCTTCGCAGTTCATTGCGCAAAGTGCTACGCCGTTGTTCTGGATTACAGCTTCGTTCGTACAGTAATGGGAACGAGTGACTGCATTGGCCGTTATACATTTTACATCTTAAAGTATTTACCAGAGGGAGATTTTGTACAAAAGTCGATTGCTTGGGTACCTCTGTCCCATTCGTGTTTCAATCGTAAAGCAGTTGTGTTTGCATGGCTGTGTTTCAGTTTGAAGGGTGGGATATGGCAGTGAATTTACAGGGTACAGAGGAATAACACCTGAGTCCTCAGGGATGGCAACGCATGAGGGTATCATGGGCGAAACAGGCCATTCTAAGCTGATAAAAAAATTATTACATTATGTGTAAATAAATAAATATTCTTAACCTTGGAACCATACACTATCTGGCATACAAGTTACTTCTACACAGGGGTTCTAGGGTAGCCCACACTAAAATAACTGTAATTTATTATATAGAAACCAATTAGTTAATCTATTTTTTTATTATAAAACTATATGTAATAGGGACTACAAATCAGTAATTTAATTTAAATTTTAAATTTAATTTCAGCATTTTCAGAGACTTTTATCTGTGGCCCCAAACAAATAAGTATTTTACACTCATGGTTTTTTATTTTGCTTTTCCTCTATATATTTATTAGGGAAAAGTCAAAAATTTTCTATATCTGTTCTACAAAAACGTATGATTTTGACGTATTGGTCTGATATGGTGATATTATTAATATTTATTTTATATTATATATTTATTTATATTTGGCAACCCCCCCCCCCTTCTCCAAGGGGGAATCATATATTCAGCAGTGTACGAGTGTCCACAGCTGGTATGGTGATGATCATAATATTTGTAATGACTTCATTAATACAGAGTAATACTGTGTAAAGAGTTTCAGTCACATAATTAAATTAAAATACACGGAAATTTAAAACTGTTTTGTAAACCACATAATGAGAAAAATAAAAAATAAACCGCCCTGACTTGCCGCAGCACCCCATGTAGGGGTTTAGGGTTAATGGCCATAAATTTTTAGAATTTGTCACAATTACTAAGCAATATCAACAGGTTTGTTTTTTTCTACACAGAGGGCAAACGAGCATGCGGCTCACCTGATGGTAAGTGACTACTACCGCTCTTGATCACCCACAACATTAAAGGCATTGCAGGTGTGCTGCCGGCCTTTTAAAAAGGCATATGCTCTTTTCTTAAAGGTTATGATGTCGTATCGGTAATTTTTGCTTCACAACAGTTTTTGATCCCTAAAGAAAAATGTTAGTTTCTATTATTAAAAAAATAATTGGAGCTAAGTGAATAAGGCTACGTTCAGCAGTGGACGGATAATGGCTGAGATGATGACAATGATGGGATAAATTATTTTGATTTAAAAAAAATAATTACGAAATCGAATTAAGCACCTTGATCTTTTAGAAGAGGCTCGGAAAGAAGTATTTTGTATTTTATGTCTATATGTTACGCAATATTATCACTAATTCAAAATCGATTTAGATTTTTTTTGCAATTCTGAATTTGCTTCTCTCTTGGCAAGCATCGTTATAAGTTTTAGTATAATTTATAAAGAAGACAGCATAGTAACTGTTGATACCAGAGGGTGCCACTTTCATATTAGTAATATACAAATAATTATTATCTAATACATACATACATACATATCTGTCACGCCTGTCTCCCATTACGGTAGGCAGAAACAATGGAACGCCAAATGCTTCGATTCAAACAAACCTCTTTCGCTTCTTTTACATTCATCAATCTTTTCATACACGCTCGCCGGTTACGGGTACTTTTAATTTGGTCCTTCTTCAGCACGTCGCCTATTTGGTCGACATACGTCCGTCTAGGGCGGCCCCTACCGACATCTCCATTCATTCTTACTCGATAAATCTCTTTCGTAATTCTTCTTTCATCCATCCTCTCCAAATGACCAAACCAACGCAACATTCCTTTTTCGATTTTTGTCACTACATCGTCTTTCAGTCCACACTTCTCTCACATTATTATCTAATATACCACTAAATTCCACCTTATCTCCAAAAATATCTTATTATTTATATTTTACTAATATTTATACATCTTGTTATTGTTGCAAACCGAAACCTGGTAACAACGAGTGCATCAAACCGTAGTTGAGACCACTAAAGCAATGGAGTGAGGTACGTTAAAAACCAAGTATTTACTCACAATGTCGATGACGCTAAATAATTGGGCAAATATTTCTCTCGACTGAGTGTGGTCGGCTCGACACCATCGCTAGTAGGGTTACCATTTCAAATTTAGAAAACCGGATATATTTGAGAAAGACCAAACACATTTGTTATATGACTGAACAAATAAAATAACATTTCTTTAATATTTTCAAGTAATTGTATATAAAAGTAAACATAATTATATTTTATTTTAAAAAATTTTAATCTTAGTAGTAAATCCGGTAAAAGTCCAGATAAAATTCCAAAAGTGCGGACATGTCCGGACAAATCCGGATGGTAACCCTATCCACGGGCGGCTCTTTGTTTACAGCGCTCCACTTAACAAAACATCCATTAGCCCGGTAACGAGCAACGCAAACTCGCCCCCCTCCCCCCCTCCGCCTCGGTCGGAGCCCGTTTGCCCGACACCACCAAATTTACATACGCACTATTGCGGAGCTGAACACGACCAGGGCCGGTCCTGCTGGATGTAATCACATTTTACTGAAGTATACACGGGTTTCCTGATTAGTACAGAATCTGTATTATACATATGTATAATATATACTAGCTGTTTGTCCGTTACTTCGTACCTTCGTAGATTTCAGAAGTATGAAAACCAATGAAGTAGAACACTTGAAATGGTGTATCAAGACAATACACTAGTTTAAGTTAGATCTTCAGGAACACAAATGTTAAAGTAGCGTCCAATTGGGTGCAATGGGTTTTGTGTAATGTGGGAACAAACGCACATACAGACAGAAAAAAATTCTAAAAATTAGCTACTAACGTATAACGTGATCAATTTTCAACAGGATGAACCTTAGTTACGAGTAACTTGTACTTTATACGTAATGAAGACCTTATATCATCATCATCATCATATCACCCTTTAACAGTCCACTGCTGAACATAAGCCTGCCCCTTGGATGGTTTTTCAGTAGTTGCCACACTTGGCAGGCGGATTGGCAATCGCAGTTAGACTTTCAAGATGTTTTACGAGGGACGCTGCTGCTCATCCCTCGCCCTCTCTTAGTCGTCTCTTACGACATCCACGGGAAAGGAAGGGATGGCTTATTCTATACCGGGAACACACGGCAACAATATGCCATTACGTATATATTTATCTATTACATATGTTAGAGAAGTAAGAGACATGTGTAAATAGATAGAGATATATTCTGGATAGGAATCTAGAAAGGAGCCTGGCGTGAGCATGTAAAATAATATAATTAAACTCTATTCTTATATGTATTTAGGTTGACATAAAATATGCGGTGCCTGACCTTTAATGAGATGTGCTGCGAGGACGAGGACAGCGGTGAACACGTGCAGGCGCCACGGGCACGCGCACATGGTAGCACGCGCGCGCACGCGACCGCGCACGCCCACTCTCACACTGCAAACGAAAACGGAACATTAGCGTCGAGTTACGGAAACATTTAATAGGGTACTATTGCATGTTGCCATGTGCATACAGCGTCCCTTTTAAAACATCTCTAAAAGCCTAACTGCGGTTAATAAACCCGCCTGCCAAGCGTAGCAACTACTGGCTCCCCTTTGGGGAAGGCTTGTGTCCAGCAGACAGTTAACGGATGAAATAATAATTTAATGAAAATTGCATGTTGTATATGAACTGATAAAGAACAAAACATAGAGTTAACATTCTTGAATGGTCGGATGAATTTTTATAGTAATAATGGAATATTACATTCTAAGGAACCTCATTATATACTAACAAAATGCTAGGTCAGCATGAGATTGAACTATTTATTTTAAACAAATAACCATTACAGTTAGTGTAGAAATTATATACAAATCAATTAATAATCTTCTTCTTTATTTTATTTATTTATTCTTTATTGCACAATAAAACTTTAAAATAATATATTTCTAATATTATATGTACTTGTACATCAGTATGGATCCAGTACAAGTATGTTCACGAACGGTATGTTGCGTCGACCGCTTGCGGCCCCACCACACTGGAATTCGAATACATGTAATTGATTTTTTTTGTTTTCAGTTAAAATTCTCGTTCTGAATTCTAGTTTCTAGGTTAATATTTCCCTTCACAAAACCTTAAGGTTGGGTACGATTTCACTATTATTTACGTTTATTTATCTATTTATTCATTAGTACATATATGTGTACATGGCGGACTTAATGCTAAAAGCATTCTTTTCCAGTCTACCATAGGGAAGTGCTAGAATACTCGAATGCGGTGTTAGTAATTATTGATATACATACATACTAAAATTACATATATAAACAAACATTATTGAAGGTGCAGTTACGGGTTAATAAATACTTTAGAACCATAAGATTTTAGCGAACATTAGAAACATTTTTTCATACTTATTATCGCGCACCCGGATGGTTCGACTGAGTTATTGGATGTTTCAAAATCCTATCTATACGAGTATAAACAAATAGGAAGGATAGAAAACTCTCACCCATACTAGTACATACGTTTAGCTTATAAAATTTTATTAATTCATTTATTATATTTATTTATTTATGGCAACAAACAGTCATTTACAAAATAATTAACACAATATACATTAGAGTTTTAGAACAATAGACCTTACAGTGCCAGTAACAATATTTTAAAAACATAGAGATATTATTTTTAAAGTCCATTTATGAAAATTTTGCAACAAATCCAAGATACTAATATATATATATATAAGTATCAAAGATGAAGAAGAAGAAAAAAGAAGCGCCGATTTGATTTCAACATACAAGTTTTTGAGTTAATTTGTGTCTAAAAATGGATCTAATTCAAAAAATTCTCTATTAAAATTATCTTATAAATATACTTATTTTATCTTAACAAATCAAGTAAAATAGTCGTCCTTGAGTTTGAGAGCCTGGTGATCTGTAAGACGTGGTATCCTAGTACCGACATCAATCTCTCACACAGATCGTTTTAAATTGTAACTTATTTATTTATTTAACACTTTATTGCACCAACAATACAGGATTTGTTAAACAATTTTCGATAAGTATAATAAGTATACAAAAGGCGGTCTTATTGCTAAGCAATTTCTTCCAGACAACCTCTGGATAGAAAGAATTAAAGAATAAATATTTATGTATCTGTAAGCTTTAATATGCTGTTATTTTGTATGAGAAATAAATATATATTTACATATATATGATGATAAGATAATGTTTCTTTGTGTGTTACACTTAAAAAGTCAATTATAACATAATTATTATTGGACAAGCGTGTAGGTGTGTGGGTGTGTGGGTGTGCAGGTGTGCAGGTGTGCACGTGTCGTGACTGTTACAATAAAAAAGCGATTATTATCAAAACCAACCATAATGTCTACACACTGAAAACCTCCAATATATAACAGTCGTAAACCGAGTCATTAAGTCAAGTGTATACCGCTAATAACTCCATAATAATTTCGGCTTCAAATAATGCAAGATACGACATTCTATTCGTTCGTTATGTTGAAAAAACAATTTGTTTTTAATTGTTCTAGCACGTGAAGTGACGTGGTAATGCGATAACCTTGATATTTAATCTGTTACGATAGAAATATGCATTGTTTTATGTTATTGCTGTGGGGGAAGTTACATTTAAGTTGCTGACATTTTGGACGAGCGCGTGAGAATTACATATCAATTCAACTAGACTTTTGTCCGCTACTTCGTACGTGAGAACCAATAAACTAGCCCATTTCTGGACAGCGTATAAAGATAAGACACACACCAGTTTTTAAGTTAGAACTTTAGGAATACAACAGCGTAAAACAGCATTTTGTAAAATGCCGGAGTAAACATGCATACAGACCAACATATAGGTAAAATTTAAAGAAATTGTTGAATTGGCTTGTGCTTGGTTTATTAAGTCACTTCATATTACTTCCTCTTAAATATCTGTCATGTACAGCCATCGTTTTTTAAAATTTTACAATTTTTTTATATACAACTTATAACGGCAAACAAGCTGACGGCCCACCTGATGGAAAGTGGTAATCGTCGCCTATAGACATGAGCAGTACCATGGACATAACAGAGTATACTGTTTCGCCCATGACACCCCCCATGCGTTACTATTCCTGAGGGCTCAGGTGTTATTCCTCTGTACCCTGTAAATTCAAAGTTGAGATGTAGCAGGAGTCGAACTTATGAAATCTTGCTTTAATAATATACTCGTAATAATAAATTCATTTGCTTTAAATAAGTTAGGTATCGATGTTCTTATATTATATAAAGTCTCTAGCCTCTTTAGCCATTTATAGAATAGCATACAAATGTCACATTTTGGTGGGAACTGATTAGTTAATACATCGACAACACTAACTATATATTTATCTATTAAAAAAAATAGATAAGTACCTAAGAGGGAGATATAGAATTATAATTGGTAAATTACAACACTATAGTTTTAACACATTTTTTTAATTATTCTCTACGCAGACATATAATAGTGATGCCCAGTAATTACAATCACGAATCAAATTCATAACAATAAACAGGTGAATTACATTGCTATCGGGGAAAATGTCACTAGCTGGTCGCAGTGTTTGTTCACATAACGAGTGTTATATAACGATCAATAAAATTTATAAGTGCTTACAACGTTCTAAAAACACGTTATCGACGAATTAATGGTAATGCAATCAAACAATGCCGCCTGGCGTTTGTTACTTAACGATCTTTTCACGTGCCCGACACTATAATACTGTGTTTGTGTTAAACATAAATATCTAGCTATCTCCATCTGGAAGTAGCACAGTAAACGCAAAGCGTCATAATCGCTTTTAATAAATTCAATAAAAAATTAACCAAATGTTGTTAAAATTATCATAAAATCACTATGTAAATGAAAAATGTTACATTAAATCAATTAGAAACTTCTTATTTCTACTAATATTGGATATTAGCATGTGGTCACGTCAATTATTCCTTTGTTTACATTTTTATTAACTTTCATTGAAACAGACTATAGTAAATTCTTTTTTTAACGGTTGACAATGGAATGGTAATCTCGCCTGCGTTAACAGTATAAGCTGGCGGAGTATTTGTGAGGGATGATAGGTGACGATGACAGCAGGTCAATTAGCCCATCGTGATGAACATACCTGAAGAGGGGGATAGGGATTGTTAGTAGTGAGATTCAATAGACCCATTACTAGCAATATACCCTATCAGGTTGACCTCAACGTGGTTTCTCCTGGACAAACCATCGTGATTATTTTTTGATGAATTCATCACTAAGGGCCAACTGATTTGCATCATCCTCACCTATCATCTCTCCCTGGTGCCCCGCCAGTGCATACCGATAGCGCAGGCGGGCAGGGGTTACTTCATTATCATACATTAAAAAACACAAACCTAATGTTCATAAGGATGGTTTCTGGGGAGAGGGGGGGAGTACGTGGAGGTCGACCTGGTCGGGTAAATTGCTAGCAATAGGGCTCTTAGTCTCCATTACTAACCTCTAATATACGTAATCTCTACCCAACCGACTATAGTACCTTTTATCATGTCGAAACAACATATCCCATTGTTGGACAGGATATCACGGAGATAAGTTTACTATCAGTATGATAACTATGAGGCTTAGTCCAACGTGTAATTTCGAGATTTCTCTCTGTTGTATTGTATCGTGTTTTGTAGCCGCTCAGTTGCCCCGAACGACAACATGGGAATGAAAAGGAGCGGCGACTTATTTGTATTCTCACTCCATCGCCATACAGAAAAGCTTAGCTTTTGTATTAACAAAATTACATACTTATTGTATGGCGAAGTAATTGCTGTTGGAGTTTCTAATGTCTACAAATGTCGTTGTTACAGACATAAAAAAGAAATTATGTATTTTTTTTTATACAACTTAGAATGGCAAACAAGCTGACGGCTTACCTGATGGAAAGTGGTAATCGTCGCCTATAGACATGAGCAGTACCATGGACATAACAAAGTATACTGTTTCGCCCATGATACCCCCATGCGTTGCCATTCCTGAGGACTCATTTTTTTTCAGTGTCGGCAAAGTGCAGCCAAATACCCTGTCATTGCAGGAGTCCATACCATGCAATAATCACTTATCATAAGGCGAACCGTATGCCTCCCTTGTAGTTCAAAGCAAGCTATTCGGCGGACTTCGTGATGTAATACTTTACGGTCGGTTTGTTGTTCACCGGGTATATTGGAATTCGAAACAGGGGGCGAATTTATCGCCGCTTTATGGAATAAATTAGTTTGTTATCGATGTTTACCATCGCTGTAGAGTTCGTTGGCTATTGAAATTAACATTCGCGATCAAATATAAATTCCCCACTTGTGAAAGGTATAATTTTAGGAGAAATAGATAAATGGACGTGTAGTCCCGACATAAAATAGATCACCCCTTCCTTTTCTGTGAGTGTTGTAAAAAGC